GTAGGGGAACAGTGAATTCAGCTGGTTCACAGACTAGAAATGGGTGCAAAGAAAGGTGGCCACTCAGTAGGACCCTTTCTTCCCCCCTTTTTTCTTTATATGTGGTACTAGGGATTGAACCTAGGGGCATTCGACCACAGAGTTCCACCCCCAGCTCTTTTTGAGATAGGATCTAACTTGTCCAGGATGACTGTGGCTTTGACCTTGGGCTTCCCCTGCCTCAGCCCTAGGAGTAGCAGGGATTACGGTGCACCACTGTGCCCGATCAGTAGGACTCTTCGGTATGCATGAATTTTCATTCAACTGAGATGGCGAACACTTATGACAGGTCTCGTGTGTGGGGGGAGGTGGGAGGGAGGCAAGATCATTAGTTTGGTTATAATCGGGCTGAGTCTGAAGTCTCTTGGAGACCACCAGTTGGCATTATCAATCAGGCAGATTAAAACCCTAGCCTGGAGCTCAAAGGCAAGGTCTGAGGCTTCTAAGAGAACCAGCTGCAGAGAGCAAGGACCAAAGGAGTAATTAATACACCGAAGATCAAAATCCCACACTCAGAATGGAAGGACATTAAACCTTCACCATGATTAAGTATGAAGCCATACCACAGCATGGCATCTATACTGCAGAGAGTAGAAACATTTGTAACCAATAATGGTTACAAGTAATAACATACAAACAGTAAATATCTAAAGAAGCACCCAAGGCAGTCTGATGTTCACTGGCAAGAGAAGAAGCAAAATAAAATTTATCATCCTCTGATGACGCAGTTATCAAGTTTGTATGCACAGACACACAAACATATCTATTTATAGTAGAAATAGAATATATAAAGTCTAATGCTGAAAGTGGAGCTGTGAAGCTAACTGCATGTGCTAGGGATACACACTTGGGCTAAAGGAAATTACATTAATTTATGAAATGGTAAGAATTCTAAGAGTTAAAAATAACAAAACTATTCAGGGACTCTTCTCAATACTTTATTCCACTAATAGTTTTTTTT